AACCAAGTTGGCTGGTTGCGAAAACGATGTAAGGCGCGGCGCAGTTGGGAGCGATGTGGCGCATTATGATCCGGATTGGACCCGCGCCCACTGCGGTGGCGGCCAGCACGTAGTCCGTTTCCCTGATGGCCATAGCTTGGGCCCTGATTACTCTCCCCGAGCCGGTTATGAATATTACTATCAACGCCAGGATCACGTTGGTTATGGACGCGCCAAAAGCCGCCACGATGGCCAGCGCCAGGATGATCACCGGGATAGACATGAGGGTATCCAACAGGCGCTGGACCACCAAGTCGATGAACCCTCCGAAATAGGCGCTGGCCATCCCGATTAACGCCCCGGCAGTGACACCAACCAGTACGCTGATGGCCGCTACGCTCATGGATGTTTTGGCGCCGTGAAGCAACCTGCTGAGGGTGTCCCGCCCCAGTTGGTCGGCGCCAAGCCAGTAGGTCTTGCCGAAATTCTCTCTGCACACCGATTCGGAATTACACACCACCCCGGGGCCGGCGTACTTGAACTTTCCATGGGGCGAGTAGGGATCAAAGGGTGCCACTGCGGGGCCGATTGGTATAAGCAATAGCATGATCACGAAAAAAACCCCGCCAACGGCCCCCAAGGGTTTTTTCTTGGTGAAGTCGGCCAGGGCCCGGGCCGTCGCTTTGACCGCATACGCGGCCGCCTGCGAGGGGTTGCGCGATAACGTAGTACCGGAGTCCCGCCGGTCCGAGTGACTAAGCATACCGAATCCTCGGGTCGATCCATGCCAGGGCCAAGTCCACAAGCAGGTTCACGGTCAACACCGCGACCGAGAACACGATAACCACCCCTTGGACCAGGTTATAGTCCCGTTGCCCAATGCTCTCTATCAGGAGGCGGCCCAATCCGGGCACAACGAAAATTTGCTCGATTATCACCGAGCCGCCCAGAAGAATGGCCAAAGACCATCCGGCGACGCCGAAAATAGGGAGCAAAGCATTCTTCAAAGCATGTCGGCCCAATACCACCCGCTCGTGGAGTCCTTTAGACTTGGCGGTCCGGATATAGTCCTCCCGTAGCACTTCCAACATCGCCGACCGGGTGACCCTTGCGGTGAAGTTCATTTGAAAGATGGCTAAGGTCAAGGCCGGAAAGAAGATTTGCTGCAGGTTTTCCCAGGGCGCCTCCCAAAGCTTGGCGTAACCGAACGGAGGCAGCCAGTTAAACACACGGGCCAGGATATAAATCGCCACTATGCCGGTCACGAAGATGGGCACGCTGATGCCGAATATAGTGAAGCCCCTCCCTATATAGTCGAACAGGGAGTCCTGGGTAATAGCGGAAACTATCCCCAGCGGGACCGCCAGCACTATACTGATGATCATCGCCAGGATTGCTATCTCGAAGGTGATGGGGATGCGTGGGCTGAGTTCTTCGCTTAACGGCCTCTGATAGTAGAGGGCCTTGCCCATGTCTCCCCGGAGCATTCCCCATATCCAATCGACGTACTGCACAACCAGCGGGCGGTCTATCCCCAGGTCGTTGCGCTTCTTAGCCAGGTCCTCCTCGGTGTAGCTGGCATCTCCACCGGCGGCAAGGAGTTGGATGGCGGGGTCTCCGGGAATCACCCGCATGAGCAGAAAAACGAGGACCGTAATTAAGGCCAGCGTTGGGAAGTAGAGCAGGATTCTCTTGACTATATATTGTTTCAAAAGCCTACTCCCATGATTTTCCTGTGACCACGCTGCGACAAGTCACTGGGCGGGAGAGGGTAAACCTTCTCCCTGCCCAATGGATTTTTGTGCTTAGTGCTTAGATGGTCTTGTACGCCGTTAAGGGCCGCCGGAGTTTATTCCTCGATCCAGATGTGTTCCACAGTAGACCCCACCGCCGTTTGGATAGTATCGGGGACCACGTAGCCGCCGGCAGCGGTCTTTATCTTTTTGTTGACCACGTTGTAGAAGGGCCGCCATTGGAAGATTATGTTCCCGTGGCCTTCCCCGGTAAGCAAGTAGTCTTCGATTTTTCTGAGAATCTTTTTCCTTTCCTCTATGTCCAATTCAGCGCTCTGCTGCTGGAACCACTCGACGTATTCGGGCGGCGGCTGCCAGCGGCTCCAAGCGCGGTCGGTGGGCATGAACTGGGCGTTCACGAAGTCGTCCGGGTCCAGGATGTTGATGCCGTATCCGGAACCGCCAATGGCGTAATTGCCAGAGATGTGCTCCGGGTTGACGGCCGCCAGGTCCTTGATGACCAGCTTAATGTCCAAGGCCAGATTCCGTTTCATCTGTTCCTTGAACAAAGCCATATAGTCCGGGAACCCGGCAGCAGTGAAGCTGGAGAGGCTAATTTCTCCGATGGCGCTGGGTGGGTCGTAGCCCGCCTCTTTCATCACAGCCACTGCATCGTCTATGTCGTCCTGCTTGGTTCTGGGGCAACCTTCGCAACCGCCGAAACCCGGAAATTGCTTCAGTTCCTCCGTAGAGTAGGAGTACCACTGGTCGGGGATGAATGGGGCCCCAACGGCGTTCTTGCCATCTCCGAAGGTTTCCTGGAATTCCCAACGGTCAACCGCAAGCCACAGTGCTCTCCGCAACTTCGGATTGCTCCAGACCGGGTCGTTGGTGTTCATGATTATGTCGGCCAGGGTTGCCGTCTTGGTGTAATAGGCGCTCAGGTGCGGCTCTGTCTCCAGTTCAGCCACGTCTTCAGCAGAGATGTTCATCACGGTGGTGCTGGACATCATCAGCCGCTCGGTCTTGTAACCAGCTACGATGGTGCCCGCGTCCACGATAGTGTGAGACTTGTAGCCATCCAGGTAGGGCAACCCCTCTTTGAAGTATTCGGGGTTTCTCTCGAATTCGTAGAAGCTTCCCCTCTGCCATTCCTTCACCTTGAAAGGGCCGCTGCCCATCACGTCCTCAAACCGTTCGAACCCCTGCTCTTTCTGCGTCTCGGGGAAAATCAACATGAAGTCCACACCCATCAATTGGAGCATGGCAGCGGCGGCGTACTTGAGGTGGACATCGATGGTGGTTTCGTTCACGACCTCGGCCCGGTCGATGTAAGGACGCAGCAGGCCTGTCCTGGGCCTGGGTTCGCCGGGTTCAATCCACCTGTTAATACTGAAGGCAACGTCGGTGGCTGTCAGAGGGGCGCCGTCCCACCACGAGGCGTTGTCATGGATAACGAAGGTGTATTTTGAGCCGTCATCGGCCAGCGTCCAGCTTTTGGCCAGGTCAGCCACCAACTCGCTCGTGTTAGTCGGGTCGAAGTACACCAACTGGTTGTGCAACGGGCTGCGGAACTGGGAAGACTGGAGAGTACCGGCAGCGTGAACGTCGAACAACTCTACATCGCCGTAGTTGACCATGCTGATAACCCCGCCTTGCTTCCCCGGAACTGCCGCAAGAACTGGAGTATCAGCCATCATGGCCTCGGACTCCGCGGCGGGCTCCGTCGCCATCATGGCCTTGGTGGGTTCCATCGCCTCGGTCGGCTCCGGCATTACGGCCGCTTCCGTAGGAACGGCGGTCGGCGGCTCGGTTGCGCGAGGAGGCGGCGCTTCAGGTTCTGATGTACAGGCTGCTCCAATCACGAGGACAATGGTCAACAAGACAGCCAAAAACAGGTGAGGTTTGAACAACGGGGAGAAATGCATGAAGTAACCTCCAGACAGTAGTCCTTAGAAGCTGGTATCCTGATTGGACGGTTGCCCCGGTAGAGGAAGGGGCCGGGTCGCAACGTTTGGGTGATATTAAGAGTCCACCATATTATTGTCAACCTGCATGGAGGCGCTCAATGGCCGTACGTAAACGTATCGGGGTAATGATGCCCACGACGAATACCACCGTGGAACCCGACTTCAACCGCATCGCCCCGCCGGGGGTCACAATTCACGCCCAACACCTGTGGTTGTCGTCCTTTCGAGATGGTCCGGATGCCATCCGTGAAGCCATGGACGAGATGAACGCTCAACTGGAACAGGGCGCTTGGTACCTTGCCCAAAGCAAGGTGGAAGTCGTCAGCATGGTGGGCACGACCAACAGTTTTTATCGGGACAGGGCTTGGAGCAACGAGATGGAGCAGTTGATGTCCACCGCGGCGGGAGGGCTTCCCGCAGTGGCAACCAGCCCGTCCGTGGTGCAGGCCCTCAATTACTTCGGGGCCAAGAACATCTCCGTCGCTACGCCATATCCCAATTGGAGCAACGAACGGCTGAAGTCGTACTTCGATTCCGCCGGTTTCAACGTGCTCAACGTGGAAGGAGAGCCTTGGGCGGCGCAGGCAGGGCCGCAGGGGATGAACGACCAGGACCCTGAACTAATCGTGGAGTTTGCTTCCGGGGTATGCCGTGACGACGCCGACGCGTTGTTCTGCGCTTGCACGGGCTGGCGGGCTATGGAGGCTGCCGCCGATCTCGAGCAGCGTCTCGGCAAGCCAGTGGTGACGGCGGTCCAAGCCACCGCTTGGCGCGCTTTTCGCAAGGCCGGCATCACTCAGTCAATCAGCGGCTCCGGCAGCCTTCTGGAACGTATGCCGCCAGTGGCGGATTAAGCTGGACTTTGTACAAAGTTGGTTAGAAGCCATTAGATACAAAGGTGTGGCTATAAATCTATTTTTCCATACTTTTTCAATGTCATCTCTGGACCCGACATTGAAAAAATGCCCTATCTACGTGATCTTACATATGACGCACATCTGTGGAACGTACAAAGTCGAGTTAAGAAACTCTCTCAAAACTTGTCGCAGCACCCAACAAACCTGGTACAGCACTCAACCCGTCATTCCCGCCGCCACCCCGTCATTCCCGCGCAGGCGGGAATCTACAGGCCCCGATCAGCGACGTGGGGAAATCAGCGAGACTGATTGGTGTTGCGATAGTCTCTAATCGACAGAGAATGCTTCACGGGTTATCATACCTGCTGATGTAACCACTTGTTGGAATTTTCGTTAATAAAGAGGGGAAAAATGCGAGAAGTCGCGATTGTTTCACCAGTCAGGACACCTGTGGGGGGAATTGGCGGCAGCCTGCGCGGTGTCTCGGCGGCAGAGCTGGCAAGCATCGTTATTCAAGAATCTCTGAGCCGGGCCGGACTTGAAGCAGGCAAGGTGGACGACGTCATCCTGGGCCACGGATATCCTAGCGGGGAGAATCCAGCAATCGGCCGGTTAGCCGGATTGAAAGCCGGGCTACCCATAGAGGTCCCGGGATACCAGTTGGATCGCCGCTGTTCCTCCGGCCTGCAAGCCATCCTCAACGCCTCCATGCTGGTCCAGACCGAGAATGCCGACGTAGTCATCGCCGGCGGTGTCGAGAGCATGAGCAACGCCGAGTTCTACACCAACGAGACCCGATGGGGCGCCCGCTTCGGCTCGGTAACCATGCATGACCGGCTGAACCGCGCCAGGGAGACCATGTCGCCGGATGAGCGGTTTGGCTACATATCCGGGATGATCGAGACGGCGGAAAACTTGGCCAAGCAGTACGAAATTACCCGCGAAGAGCAGGACGAATACTCGCTTCGAAGCCATCAACGGGCTGTGGCGGCATCGGAGGGCGGTATTTTCGCGGACCAGATTGTGGCGGTGCCAGTCCCGCAACGCCGCGGTGACCCGGTGCCCTTCGCCAAGGACGAGGGGCCCAGGGCCGACACCTCTATGGAGGTGCTTGGCCGGTTGCGGCCTATGACAACAGATGGATCGGTGACCGCCGGCAACGCCAGCAGCCAGAACGATGCCGCCTCGGTGTGCTTGGTAGTCGCAGCAGACAAGCTGGAGGAACTGGGCTTGAAGGCCATGGGCTACCTGCGGGGATGGGCCGTCACCGGATGCCATCCGGCCTATATGGGCATTGGCCCGGTGGGTGCGGTTTCCAAGGTCATGAGCAAGGTCGGACTATCCTTGGATGACATGGACCTGATAGAACTCAACGAGGCGTTTGCCGCCCAAGTGCTGTCCGTCCTGCGCGAGTGGAAACTGCCTAACGAGGACAAGCTCAACGTCAACGGCTCCGGGATTTCCTTGGGCCATCCAATCGCCGCCACCGGTGCCCGGATCCTGACCACGCTTCTCCACGAAATGGAGCGCCGGAACGCCCAATTCGGGCTGGAAACCATGTGCGTCGGCGGCGGACAAGGCGTCGCCGCGGTCTTCGAGCGCAAGAATTAGTGTCCCTCACCGCCCGCGATTCCGGCGGGCGGCACGGCAGATTAGGAACCCATCCCTCGGCAGACCAGAAACCCGTCCCTCGGCAGACTAGTGGTCCAACTGCTTTGAAACGATGGGTTAAATTGATCGGAGCCGCACGTTATCCAGCTTTTGCAGGTAAACTCGACAAACTCAATTGCCCATCATTACAAAGATTTCGCACTACTAGGAACCCATCCCGTCTTTCCCGCGAAGGCGGGAATCCATAAATGCTGTGAATCAAGGAAAGTAAACGGCTGCCAAGGCAGTCCAAGTGACTGGGGATGGCGCAGCGTTACCACACAGGAGGATATATGGCCACCGACCAGGACATTGCCGACGTTTTAGTCATCGGAGGCGGCGCTTCCGGAGCGGCCTTTACTTGGAGCCTGACCCAGGCCGGTATCAAAGTGGTCTGCTTGGAGCAGGGAGGGTGGGTGCCTCAGGACGCCTTCCCGACCAGCGAGCCGGACGCTCAAATACACTGGCAGACCGACTTTCATCCCAGCCCCAACGTCAGGGGACTGCCGGAGGACTACCCACTCAACGAGTCGGAAACGCCCATCTCGCCCCTGATGTTCAACGCCGTTGGAGGCAGCACCATCCACTGGGGGTCTCACATCCCGCGCTTTCATCCGTCGGACTTCCCGTTGAAGACAGTGGATGGAGTGTCCGACGACTGGCCGTTGTCTTACGCGGAACTGGAACCCTACTACGATCAAAACGACCGGATAATCGGCGTTTCCGGGTTGCGCGGCGACCCGGCTTATCCTCCCAAGCCGGAGCGGCCTTGCCCTCCTTTGTCTATTCGCCCCGGAGGGGAGTTACTGGCCAAGGGGTTCGAAAAGCTCGGCTGGCACTGGTGGTCGTCAGACACCGCTCTTTCGTCCGTCCCGTATGACGGGCGCCAACCTGACAACGGCGGCTACCTCCGGTCCTCCGCTGCAACGGACTTGAACTACTGGCCCAAGGCGTTGCGGCAGGGCGCACGGCTGGAGACTCGCGCCCGCGTCCGGGAAATCCTTGTGGACAAATCAGGCCGGGCCACCGGCGCGCTCTATTACGACAGCCAAGGAAATCTGCTTGAGCAACGGGCCAAGGTCGTAGTAATGGCCTGCAATGGCGTGGGTACCGCCCGCCTGCTGCTGAACTCCAAGTCCAACCTGTTCCCGGATGGCTTGGCCAACAGTTCAGGCTTGGTGGGCAAGAACCTCATGCACCACCCCGCAGGCGTAGTCGTCGGGTTCGTCGATGAGTGGCTGGGAGTTGACGACGGCCCTCGTGGCAGCACTATGTTAAGTCAAGAGTTTTACGAGACCGACGCCAGCAGAGGTTTCGTACGGGGGTACGACCTGCAAGTGATGGGGCAAGGTTCCTCGCCATTGGCCACCGCGCTTGGAGGTCTTCTGGGCATACGAGTCCCTTGGGGGGCGGGCCATCACGGGACTTTCCCAGAGAGGTTCGGTCACGCCATCTGTATCACCATCATGAGCGAAGACCTGCCCGAGGAACACAACCAAGTGACACTGGACCCGGTATTGACCGACAGCCACGGGATACCGGCTCCCCGGATACAATACACCCTCAGTGAGAATACGAGCCGGATGCTGGACCATGGCCTGGCCCGCGCATCCGAGGCCCTGGAAGCCGCCGGCGCCAAGAACCTCCGGTCGGACAAGGTGCGCCGCAACGCGGGTTGGCACCTGCTTGGCACCGCAAGGATGGGGGACAACCCTTCCAACTCAGTGGTGGACCGGTGGGGCCGGGCCCACGACGTGCCCAATCTCATGATTATCGACGGCAGCATCTTCACCACGGGCGCTTGCATCAATCCCACTCCCACAATACAAGCGCTGGCGTTGCGCACCGCTGATTACCTCAAGGGCGAGGGCCAGAACATCATCCGCTGACCAGGCTACAAGTACGCGACAACGCACCAGGAGCGCCAAGGGCAACGATGCTTTTAGCATCGTTGCCCTTTTTATGCCTCATACGTGGCCCCCAGGCTGTCATCCGTCACTACCGCACCCAACCCGTCATTTCTCCCCGTTCCCCTTCCCTTCTATTCTTTTTCTCCAATTTTCCCCGGTGCCCGACCGTCATTCCTCATACCCCACAGTCATTCCCGCACCCAACCCGTCATTCCCGCGAAGGCGGGAATCCATACGCGCCGAGCTAAAGGAACGTCACCGTCAGCGAATGACTCTGCATTCCTGTCCACGCCAGCGATGACTTGGCACAGGCCCTCCCCACTGACATTTGCCCCTTGCCAGCTCGGAAAGCACCTCTCTACCATATTACTTGTCATTACTTGTCCCGCTCAACGTCCTATTGGGCGTGGACAAGTCCAATAAAGCCACTGAGGCAACAGGATGGTTGATGAGTAGAAATCCTCCAGCAACAAGCGGTCCGGACCCTATAGAAAACAACGACCTCGAAGTCCCTTCCAACTCCGTATGCCTCCCCGGATGTCCTGAAATGTCCGAAAATGTCCGCGATTCTGAAATTCCCGGATCTCCCTCGGGCAATAGACATCCGAGAGCTTTACATCATGCGCAGTGAAATAACGCCCTATGGGGCTCGCGTCGCGCCCTCACGTAAATTGGCAGCGAACTGGCCGCCTACCGGCTGGATCTCCTGAGTGCGCGGACCTGTGCCACCGTTGGTTCGTCGCGAGTCGACCAGAAGCTCTTGCCCGAAATCAAGCCCTTCATCCAACGGGTAATAGACGCCGGCTACCGGCTCCTCCCGTTGGGCACGGCCAATAACTACCTGCGGGATTGTCGTCGTAAAGACACCGTCCCCGACCCCGACGTCCTGCTAAACGCCATCCTCCCCTTGACTGGATAATATCCCACCCATGGGTCCCTTGGCTGACGGAAAGATTTGGCCTGCCCCAGATAGCTATCTCAACAAAGGAACGCGGGCGTCCCGCCCGCACCAAGTGGGTACGACTTTGCACATGCCCTCGCGTTACACGCCAGCCCATTGACACCCCAAGGGCCAAACTTTAGGATAGCCGAGTGTCGGGGCAGTCTGGCAATGCCCCTTTCTCCTTCAAGCATCGGTATATAACCGCTACAACAGCGAGGTGATTTCTAATGGCCGACGAGGTTTTCGGATCTGGAGATTTTCGTTACAAGTTCGTGGACGGATGGGCCAAGCTCCCGGACGGTATGGCTTTCCACGAGTGCCCCGGCGTGGCCGTCGACTCTCAGGACAATGTTTTTGTCCTGACCCGCGGCGAGCACCCTATCATGGTATTCGACCGGGAAGGCAACTTCATCCGCAGTTTCGGGGAAGGTCTGTTCAGCAACCGCACCCACGGCCTGTACATCACCCACGACGACTCGGTGTTGGCTGCCGACGACGGTATCCACACCATCCAGAAGTTCAGCTCGGAAGGCGATAAACTGATGGAAATCGGGGAGCGGAACCAGCCGGCCCCGGCTTGGAGCGGCCAAGCCTTCAACCGGCCCACCTCCGCCGCCATCATGCCCAGCAATGGCGACGTGTACGTCTCCGACGGCTACGGCAACTCCCGCATTCATGTGTTCACCGGCTCCGGCGAGTACAAGTTCTCTTGGGGCGAACCCGGCATCGACGCCGGCCAGTTCATCCGGCCCCACAACATCGCCGTCGATAGCAACGACCGGGTCTACGTCGTAGACCGGGAAGCCCACCGCATCCAGATCTTCGACCCCCAAGGCAACTTCATAACCATGTGGAACAACATCCACCGCCCCGACTCCATGGTGCTGTGGCAGGACCATATCTACGTCGGTGAGTTGAACGGCATGGGCGGCGTGGACGAGGCGCCGGGGCTGGGCCACCGGGTTACCATTTATGACTTGGAAGGCAAGCGCGTCTGCATGTTCGGCACGCCTGAAGAGGGCGAAGGCCCTGGTCAGTTTATAGCCCCCCACGGCATCGCAGTGGACTCCAAGGGAGACCTCTACGTGGCCGAAGTGTCCTTCACTATTCGCGGTTCCAGGATGGACCCGCCCAAGGTGCTGAGGAGCTTCTCCAAGTACGAGCGGGTGTAGGCGGACGGAGGGCCGATGGTCCGGACTGCAACAACGGTGAATCCATGGCAACAGTTGAAGTCTTCGTCGGGGCTTGGTTCTCGTTGCTTCTTTGGGAGCCGGAGCTTTCTACTGGCTGATGTCGGAAATTCGGGCGACCCGCAGGGAAAATCGGAATGACAACCGAACGACTCGAGAGGAATTGCGCGAGGAAATTCGGCGGGAGGCCCAAGAACGGCGGGCAGATACGCAGCGCATACTGGAGGCGATCTATTTTCACCGCCACGACGCCGAAGGTGCGGCGATATTTTACCCTCCTACACAGGCCCCGCAGGCAAACTGACCTACGACACGGCGAAACCTTACAGGAGCAGTAGACCATTGAGTGACATCGGTGAAACCACCACTGTAAACTGGGACGACACCCTTGAGGCCATTGAGCGCTGCTACGAACTGGGCTGGACCGACGGTTTGCCCGTGGTCCCTCCTACGGAGAAGCGGGTGGCGCAATTCCTGGAACATTGCGGCCGCCCGACGTCGGAGGTTGTCGGGGAACTACCGGAGCGGCGCAGGGAAATCACCGTCGGCAAAGTGGCGGCCAACGCGGTTATGGCAGGGTGCCTGCCCGAATATATGCCGGTGGTTCTGACCGCTACTTCCGCGATGCTCGATCCCACGTTCAACCTCATCGGGCCGTCCTCCAGTATGGGCGGCGCAGGCATCCTGGTCATAGTAAATGGCCCGAAGACGCGGGAGTTGGGCATCAAATTCCCGCAACAACCTCTTCGGGCCGGGCAACAGGGCCAATGGCACGATAGGCAGGGCCATCCGGCTGATCCTGATGAATGCCTGCGCATCCATTCCCGGTTTGTTCGACCGCAGCGTCATCGGGCACCCGGGCAAATACAGCTATTGCATTGCCGAGGCTGAAACGGATACCCACTGGAATCCCCTGCACGTGGAGCGTGGGTTCGCCGCTGAGCAAAGCACGGTGACGGTGTTCGCGTCTGAGGGTCCCCGTCAGGTCCGTGCCGTGGGACATCCCAACGCTATCCTGGACAGCATAGTAGATGTCGCGTCTACGCTGGGGAGTAGCATGGCCATGACCGGGTCCGTGGGCGACCGGCACGACGATATCCGGCAAGGCCAAATCGCCGTCACCATCGCCGGCAACGCCAGGCTATGGCAAGACTGGACCAAGAAGCAAGTGCGAGAGTATCTGCACAGCCGCATTCGACGCTCAGTGGCCGCCTTGAAAAGGGTACATGGCTTGCCGGGTGACTTGGAGAGCGGCGACGAAGACACCTATGTCTCTTTGATTCCAACGCCGGATGACATACTTCTGGTGTTCGCGGGCGGCGAAGAGTCCAACGCTGCGTCGGTAATACCCAGCTGGGGTCCCAAGATCGGCTCCACTGCGGTCACCCACGAGATAAAATAAACGTCAGCCAAACGGTTACAGGAGGTCCAAATGACCCAAACCAACGAATACGTGCTGGTTAATCCCACGACCCAAGCGATAGTCGCTCCCTTCGACGGCGCGCCCCGCTTACCGACCCTCGCGGGCACTACAGTGGGCATCATCGACGACTGCAAGCCCAACGCCGACGTGCTGCTGGAGGAGTTGGTCGAGGTGCTGCGCACCCGGTACGAGATCTCGGACGTTCAATGGCATCGCAAGACCAGCGCATCGAGGCCTGCCGTGACTGAGGCCATCAAGGAGTTGGCGGAGAACTGCGACGCGGTCATTGTAGGGGTGGGTGATTGAGGCTCCTGCAGTGCGTGCAGTGTGCACGACGGAATTCACGTAGAGAACGCCGGCATCCCTTCGGCCACCATTTGCACCGACCGGTTCATCCCCACGGCTGCGGGAATGGCCAAGATGTGGGGCGCGCCTGATTACCCCACTATTTTCACTGAGCATCCCATCGAGAACCTGACCAGGGAGCAGATACGCCAGCGGGCCGAGGCATTGGCCCCCAAAGTAGTCAGTATCCTCATCGGCGACAGTCTGTAGCCGCTCAGTGTCCCAAAAGTAGAGGATGCCCCGGTCCAAGCTAATGCCGAAGCTGGGGCATCCGTATCCCACATTCACTCCTGCACCCGCATCTCCGGCGGCAACAGGTTAGGTATAGAGTCATCAATCGGGTAGGTTTCGTCGCACTTATGGCATACTAACCCGCCCTTGATCACGTCGTCGCCCTCTTCCTCCTCCACTCTCAGTTCCAGTTCGCTTTTGCAGACTGGACAGGCCAGTATTTCCATTAGCTCCCTTTTCAAACCGCCTCCATAAGACCGCCAACTTAACCGGAAAGGCCCCACTCGAACAGGGCGTCAAGCACGTCCGACAGGCCGATGATCAGCACGCCGTAGATTAACAACGCAGTGGTCCCGGTGAACCGGCCGCGAGCCTTGGCAACCCAGCCGGTCGCGGACTCAACGTCTCCAGGATAGACCCCTGGGCGAAGGAACCTGACCACGTAGAACATGTAGAGGGCCAGCAGCACCTTTACTACCAGCGCCGCCACGTAGGGGATCGTAGCCGCGCTGTCGGTGAGCCGGCTCACTGACAGGATAACCCCTGTCAACAGCAACACGGCTATCGCGGTATTGACCAACCCGCGAAACTCCTCGCCGATGGCCCGGTTGGCGCCCGCGTCGCCATTGGAACGCCGGAACGCCGGGCGCAGCACCATTATGTAAAAGATGCCGCCGCCCACCCAAGCGACAGCGGCCAGAGCATGAGCCCAGCGAATAGCCACCAGAATCCAGTCGAGGACGTTCATAAAGTCCGGACCGGCTTGCGGTGCCGCGGTATCAAAGGCGCAAACATAGCCTAACCCGACGACATCTCGCGGATAATGCTGTCGAGCTCTTCCGCGTCCAACGTGCTTATATCAGTCCGGTAAATCTTGCCTGACTTGTTAATGAATATACTGGTAGGGTAGTACATTATCTCGTAAGAGCGAGCTATCTCCGCCCTGACGTCGGTAGCGAAGTCGTAGGTCAATTCCAACTCCGCCACGAAATCACGGGCATCCTGCTCCGAATCGAAGCCTTGGGGCACGAACAAGCCGAGAAAGAGGATATCGTCACCCTGCACCTGCTGCCAAGCCGTCTGAAATCCGGGCATCTCAGCCCGACAGGGAGGACAGGACGGGAACCAGAAGTTGAGCACCACCGCCCGTTGGCCAACCTCGTCAGACAACCGGAAGGGGCTGCCGTCGAAGAGTGTAACCTCGAAGTCAGGTGTCTGAGACCAAGTCCTTTCTATCAAACCACAGGACGTGGTTAACAGCCCAACACACAGAAGAACTCCCCACAGGGCGGGGTGGCAATTTGCTTTGAAGTGAGGTCGCCGTATCATCAGAACTAACGTACAAACAGGGTTAACGGTTCAAGAACATTCTATAGGTCACGAATAGCGGCGGCAATCTGACGCATGCACGCAACCTTGACGGGTCAGACTTAGCCCGTATAATCGTCACATTGTAACGCGGGAGGCAACGGAATGCGTTTGGAGAACAAAGTAGCGTTCATCAGCGGTGGGGCCAGAGGCATGGGCGCCGTCGAAGCCAAGCTGTTCAGCAGAGAGGGTGCCAAGGTAGTTATCGGCGACATTCTGGACGAAGATGGGCGGCGTACCGAGGCTGAGATCGTGGAGTCCGGCGGCGAGTGCCTCTTCGTTCACTTGGACGTTACCAGCGAGTCCAGTTGGCAGGAGGCCGTAGCCTCAGCGGTAGCGCGGTTCGGCAAACTGGACGTGCTGGTCAACAACGCCGGCATCTTCCGCACCGAGGGCGTCCTGGAGACCAGCGAGGCCTTGTGGGACGAGATGCTGGAAATCAATGGAAAGGGCGTGTTTCTGGGCACCAAGTGCGCCATCCCGGAGATGCGCAAAGCCGGCGGCGGCTCCATCATCAACATCTCTTCCGTGGCAGGCTTGGTCGGAGGGCCCGGCTCAGCTGCTTATAGAGCTTCCAAGGGCGCTGTACGGCTGTTCACCAAGGCGACTGCAATCCAGTATGCCGGGGACGGCATCCGCGCCAACTCGGTCCATCCAGGCATCATCGAAACGCCCATGACCACGCCCAACCTTCTGGCGGATGAGGCCGCTCGGCAGCGGGCCATCGCCCGGGCTCCCTTGGGCAGGTACGGCCAGCCCGAAGACGTGGCCAATGGGGTATTGTACTTGGCCAGCGACGAGTCTTCTTTCGTCACTGGCAGCGAGCTGGTGATCGACGGCGGCGTGACCGCCCAATAACGGCGGTTGCCGTTACCCACAGCTTGGAGACGTGACATGCGCTTGGAGAACAAGGTTGCATTCATCAGCGGCGGCGCACGGGGAATGGGCGCGGTGGAAGCCAAGCTCTTTACCCAGGAGGGGGCCAAGGTCGTCATCGGCGACATACTGGATGATGAGGGCCGCAAGACCGAGGCTGAGATTAACGAGGCCGGTGGCGAGTGCCTGTTCGTTCACTTGGACGTGACCAGTGAGGCGCAGTGGCAGCAGGCCATCGACGCCACCGTGAACAGGTTTGGCAAGCTGGACATACTGATCAACAACGCCGGCATTTTCCGCAGCGAAAGGGTGGAGGAGATAAGCGGCGAGTTGTGGGACCAAGTGATGGAGATTAACGTCAAGGGTGTGTTCCTGGGGACCAAGGCCGCCATCCCGGAGATGCGCAAGGCGGGCGGCGGCTCCATCATCAATATCTCCTCGGTTGCAGGCCTCATCGGGGACGTTATCTCGGCGGCCTACACCAGTTCCAAGGGAGCGGTCAGGTTGTTCACCAAGTCCACAGCCATTCAATACGCTCCCGACAGCATACGAGCCAACTCCATTCACCCCGGCACCATCGAAACGCCCATGGTGGCCAACATGCTGCTCGGCTGGTACCGAGAAGACCGCATCAACCGCACACCCCTGCGCCGCATAGGCACACCCGAAGACGTGGCTTACGGCGCTCTTTACCTGGCTTCCGATGAATCCTCCTTCGTCACCGGAGCCGAGTTGGTAATCGACGGCGGCAGGACCGCCGAGTAGACGGACACTGGAAGAATGGGCCTGACATGTTGTTTGAAGTAGAGGTTGAGGCTGCCGGAAACAGTCCAATGGACCTGAACAGGGTCTTTGATCTGCTCTCGGAATCCAAGGCCATCACACGCGTATTTACGGCAGATCCATCGGGGCAAGATACGTGGTGCGAAGTAACGGGCTGGAGCCAAGCGGGTCCTTGCCAAGCTTATGCAGCATTGTCTGAAGACTCTGGGGAGGGTGTAGTGCTGTTGGTCTACGGCGGCGATGACGGGATACGCCTTAGATCCACCGGTTCCCAAAGTGAGTGGGACCTAGACAACAATGAGCAGTGGGGCGAGCCGTGCCTGATGCTGGGAAAAGACGCCCCGGTGGAGGAAGCCCTATAGAGACTGTCTCGAAGCC